GGAAAATGATTTATTAGAGTTACTATCAGACGGCAATTTTCACTACAGTCCTGTCCGTCATTAAATATGAATGCAGTTCCTGTACCTCTTTTCTTTCATTGCTACCAGAATAATCCACAGCTCAACTTAGGTCATTAATATTCTGAAATTAAAATGTTGAAAACCCATCTTATAAATCAGCAGTTCATAAAGAAAAGACATTAATTCATAAGTTTTTTTAAGAGCAAGGTCTTTGCCTTGTCAAACTGCTTAACTGCACCCATATTCTCATTGTAAGGTGAATATGGGTGCTCTTGAAGCTGTCGTGTGAAATTCTAATTTAAACTGGAGACAGAAAGTCTGATACCACAACTTTCTCTATTTCGGCCGGTTCTGCCTTCCATCTGTAAAATAAATAATCTCAAACCCTGATTACACACACATCTAGGATAAGCTCTGCCCAACTGGTGCTGTTACATATGTAAACAGCTGTTCTGCCCACACTTACAGCAAAGATAAACATCTGCCAGCAGAGACTGACCTGTATACTAAACCCAGCAAATTATCCTAATTGGCTTCTATGAAATAATTGTGTAATCTCTTTAGATTCTAATTATATATACACACACACACACAAACACACACACACACCCACACACACACACACACACACACACACACACACACACACACACACACGTTTCCCTGGTAGCTGTGTGCATGAGGGTGGGGAGAAACATGTTTTAATGAGGCTCACTGACATTTCAAGGTTGAAAAATGTACTTTATTGGCATCTACAGAAACCAAAAACGAAATGATTTCATTCATTTTGTATACACATGTATTTATGCGATTCCTTTTCAAGGATGTGTTTATATAAGTTAAAATGTATTAACATGAACAGGTGATTAAGTTGTAACAGGAAATGGTTTACGGGCTTTACCCTTAGTGGAGACTGCACGGCCCCTGATGTTCAGTGATAAATACCTTTTTTTCACAGCACCACTTGCACATGTATTAATAGTGACACAGACTGGATGCACTGGGAGGGAAAAATAGAACTTAAAGTGGAATAATCACTTCATATATATACACTACACTGGTGTGATAGAACAACCACCTCTATTACATTATGTGGGATGCACCCCGCTATACATCGTCTTGTATTTGGCACCACTGCTACAGTCCTCTTACTCTCTAGCAGAAGCCCAGTTTAACTGCTCCATCACAAAGCCTGCTGATTATCCGTCAGAAGCAAGCCACAAAAACAAGTTTATACTATGCACAAGCCTACTTTTGTAAGCCTTAATCAAAGCACGAACAGGAATCCACTTTTTAAGAGCTCTGTGCTTGTGAAAGCACGAGACAGGCTTCGTTATGCAGGTGTTTTCTTGCTTTGTCCGTCCAGTCCCTTTCATACAGCTATCTCACTTTGTTTTTCAGGCAAGGGCCATGCGTCGCGGTTCTTCTAGGTTGCTGCGGAATTTATCTAGAAACTGCGAGGCTAATTCGTCGTCCACTAGTCGGCCGTCACTGGACAGTGTGACTGTCATCAGCTGCTGGGTGCAGAGGGTCTGGTCATCCTCGCACAGTCGCAGCTCGGACCTGGAGGTCCCGATGGCCAGGATACAAGCCTGAGGAGGGTTGATTACGGCGCTGAAGCCACTGATACCGAACATCCCCAGGTTAGATATACTGCCAATGAGAGAAAAAGACAAGGGAGGGAGGAATGGACGGGACGAAAGAAGAGACGGTACACGTATTACATCGTTAGTCAAGCTTAGCACGGGGAGGAAATGCATAAAAATCAACTAAGTAGCCATAATGGTCGCTCTAAAACCAGCTTCTTGATGCAAAAAAAGAATATTATCTGTATGACTGAATGAAAAATGAGAGGGTGCATTAAGTAAATAAATATAATTGGCTGTGAACATCAGCACCGGGCCTCCAAATCTGTCCCTAAATGTTGTGTATGGTGAGCAAGACTGACCCGAGGGCAGTTTGCTGTTTGCCTTAATGAGAATTGTAGCTCATGGGGCTGGAAGAAGGAATAGAGGAAGGATGCACACATACAGTATATCCTCAGGAGGACAAAGAGGGCTGCATCTCCATAGGAATTCATCACTCCTGCCTGACACAGAAACCCCATTTAGGTCTAAATGAGACCATTAAGTCTAATGAGTTAAAAAAAGAAAAAAGAAAAAACCTCCCTTTCAATTCCCTGCAATTGATGGAATAGTAACTGATGGTACTTGTCGCCCAAGACCACATTCAGTTCAGGCCCGCATGAAATGTAGAATATGCATAATATATTGCCTATCTGTGAAACAAGATCCAAGTCATAATAGGGGACATTTATGAAGGCTATATCTTTTAACGATGAGCTACAACGGAAATTGTGAGACAGAATTAAGTATTAGTGATAAAAGGGCCTCTGTTCCTACATATAAAAAGTCTGCTTATTGAATTAAGAAACAATGGCAGAGTTGCACTAAAAATTGAAGTGGAAAGACTGGAAACTAATATTAAGTTTTATGGTGTTAGGACTTTTCATATTCCTCTTCTTTACCCAAGAGATGATGCGTGTCTTAGGTTTACCTGAATGAGCCTCCCTGGTACTCCTCTGGTAGAAGTTTCCCATCTCGAGCCCTCTGGGCCAGCGCCTGTTGAAACATTACACACAGTGATAAAGAAAAGCACACACGCTGTGTGACATAGAAGACAAAGCTTGTGTCCAAATCATTAGATATCACCAGGGCTCCGGATTTGTCCACGTGAATAAAGACACACACAGTATTGGTTAGATGCTAGAGGACAAACCAGGGGATCACCAACGTGAGAGGGGTTTATCCTCGAGATGCCATGAACATCTGTGCAATATTTTGTGCCTGCCCATCAAGTACATGTTGAGATATTTCATAAGATAAGTGAAAACGTTGAACTGCAGTTGAAGTCAGGGGAGCACCAAACTCATTAGAATTCATCCTCTGGAGACCATGAATATCTGTACAGTATTTCACGGCAATCGATCAGATAATTGTTCCGGATCAAAGTGGTGAGCCAACCGAGCAACAGACCATCAGACGATGCCATCTCCTGAGCCATGCCACTATCATAGTTAAACGTTATGAAGACCAAATGCACATATTCTCAGAGTAAAGGTAGACATCAATAAACACAACACAAATGAATGCCATGTTGTGTTGTACTGAGAGTAGACCGAGCCTCGTCTATATGAACTAGTAAACTAGCCACTACAGACAAACTTCTTATCCAGAGCAATTCTCTTAAAGTGTTGCAAGCCGTTCAGTCACAGCTTTGTAGCATAAAGATCTTTTGGTGAAAGGCCACAGGGTTCAGTTTTGAAATATCACATAAAAGAAAATGATTAAATGTCCAGTAGCTAGAACTGAGATCAATGGAAACTATCAGACTGTGCATTGCTAAAATAAAGAAAGGGAAATGACAATACCCAGACGGGAAGATGAGACAATCTGACGAGGAAACGTTCTGAATGAAGGAACGTATCCTCATCTTACGAGTGTTCAGCAACACAAGAGAGCAGCGCGCCTGTGCAAGCCCCTGCTAAGTGTAGGCAACAAAAACACTTATGTTGAGAAAAAAAAGATTGTGGTTTGGGTTGAAATGACAACAGACGTGGCGATAGCTATGTGACAAATAAGTCAAGGTTGATTTCTGGGTTTCTCACGGGACACAAAAAAGCGGCCTTTTTAGACCAACCCGTCAACCCCAACCTCCTCCCTTTGACACTCTTTATACTACCTCATCTGTCCTGGCTCACGATTATGTGGATTACATACAACTTGGTTGTACATGAATTACAGTGCATTCCTTTTTTGTAGGTACAGCTACGAGCAGCCTGGAAGGAGAGTGACAAAACACAGCGTATCCGTCAATGAAGAACAAAGTATGTTGCCGGTGTTGTCTCTGGTGTAGGAATGTGTACATGCATGTGATCCACTGGCTTCACTTTCACTAGGAAGCAGACCTGTGATTCTCTAAACATACACAATTTTACCACCGATCAAGTACGAGCTTTTGAATCCGTTTAGAATACAGACCACCGTATACTAAAGACCTCGCAGAAATAACCAGGCTACCGTTGAAGAGCTATCGTTGAACTTCTCTTTTTCCAAAGCTCTCTCTCTCTCTCTCTCTGTTGAGACTGCTGGACGGCCACTATGTCTTTATTCAACATGCACTTTAATCAAATGGTAATGTATTTAAAGGTTAATGCGGGGACACAACCAACACAGAGAGTCGACAATGACTCACAGTGATCGCAAGACACAGTGGCATATGGTGGGCACATTTGAGATAAGAGCTCTTAGTGCAGAAACAGGCTGATGTTCCACTACATCACATCAATAGCCAGCAGCGACCTCTCCATGATTCATTCAAACCACATGTGGATTTTAATTTGAGAGCAATAAGGACCGGCAAATGTAGAATTAACTCAAGGCAGCAGCATAACTAAACTGCATAGCAGCGGGTGGCAAAGCTCATTTTGAAGGCTTAAGTGGACGGAAATGTCCGCCGTGTTACTGCCCATGCTTTATGGCAGCTCTAGTGTGTGTGTTTGCACTAGTGATGTAACGTTCTCCCAGATTTGATCGCTAAAAGACATTATTTGACTTGAAGTCATCCAAATTGTTTAATAAAGACAACAACATACTTAGCAAAAATGGAGCACGCTATCTCTTCCTCTGGGACTCATCATTGGGACAAACTAATGTCACTGCTCTTTCAAATGCTAAAAACTTGATGCAAACCAGATACTATTCTGGAATCAAAAATTACACCAAGACTCACTAGAAAAAACGTATAGAGAATGTTTTCAGCAACATATTTTCATTATTTTCAATATTAAACATTATTTCTTTATTCGTTGGAGAATAAACATTGTCAGTTAAAGAACCGCAATCATGGCTCATTGGTAGTGTCATTACTACAAATACTAACATACTGACACTACTTCTGCTGCTGCAACTGCTGTTAATGTGTCCGGTAGAGAAGCAGTTTTCAGTTTGACAACACTGTTTTATGGAAACAATCCTGTCTGCCATGTTTTGTTGCCAACAGCTGTTGAATCAGACATCATATCTTCACTGAGACATACCAGACATAAATAAGGGGCCCTGAACATTTAGGAATATTACACCTGGTCTCTGCTGGCCAGAGACATCATGTTTATTACCCTCACCTTGAGAAGTTCATCTATTTCATCTGTGTCTGCGTCTTTAATGAGGAAGAGAGCGAGACGATTCAACGAGTGTGTGTCTGTACATGATTATCAGATTTTGGGAGCACATGTATGCGTTTGTGAATAAATGCCTGTCCCCAGCTGCTGACTGTGAGCAGGAGGAAGAGCTGACCATTGTTGCTTTGTACTCCATCTGTGTCCAGTGACAGCTGAGACCTGCAGCCCAACAAGCCAAACATCAAACTATCACAAATCTAAATCAGTTATCTACGGATCATTCCAGCTGATCTAAGATTTTAACTTACACACACAACCTAGCTATAGATATCTCTCTCTCTCTCAGAGAGAGAGAGAGAGAGAGAGAGAGAGAGAGAGAGAGAGAGAGAGATATATATAAATAAAGATAACTATGTATGCAATAAAGTTCTAGCCAGAAGGTGAGCACAACTCTTTCCACGGACAAATCAACAGCAAAACTCCATGTATTCACGTGAAGTGATACCCTGAATGTCCCCGCAGGTTGAATTTATAATCTACCGCTTGAACAGGAAGTATGAGGAAAGAAAACTCTTGCAAGAGAGAGCTTTGGGAGGTAACTCTCGCACCAGGGTACCTCACAACATATGACAACACAACGGTGTATAATGTATTCTTCACCTTAGCATTAGCTGAGATCTCCTGGACTCCTTTGTCTGCTGCATCCCTGATGATGGGGGTAATGAGGCCTTTGTCGGTTGCCACTGCGATTGAAATGTGGACTGAATCAAGTGCGCGGGGTCCGTCGCCAGACCAGGTCACGTTCACTTCTGGCATCTCCTAAGATAGATAGTCAGAGGTCAGCACAGGTAATAACAGTGACAAATAGAAACAAAAGGCCTTCCTGCTTTCGTTACACTGTGCTCGTGTGCTCCTATACAGTTCATGGTACAATAACAGGAGATCAGTCCTGACACAATAACAAATATGTAATTTTCTATAATATGACTGGTAGCATGCATAATATATGAATCAATTATGATGACAGTAAAAAAACAAAACACTATATTACAGTAAATCCAAGAATATCATTAATCAATTTGGCGGTGAATGTATAGACTTCCTATCAGGCCAGCAAATCTGAATAATAATAATATTATGTCTGAATAATCTTGATCTTAAATAATCTGCTGCGGTGGAGCCTCAAAAACAAAATATATATGTTGAATTATTGTGGTATGAACACAGAAACGCATCCCAGTGCACACCAGTTTATGAAAAATAAATAAAAGATTGGCCTCAGGTGCCCCTTCCTGGTGTACTAAGGTCAACTCTGGGGGGAAAGTGCAGTTGCTTTGGGCAACTGTCTGATGTTACACTGTTATGCAAGTGAGCCACGTGTCTAAGTTTAGTGCCGATGCCAATCCAAAGAGGTATTTTGACATGCGGGACATAGAGTCCAGACCATGAGAGAGCCATGTGGTGCTTCGGCATTTTATAAAAACATTACCTGGAAAATGTACACAATTGTGTTTCACACTCCTCACATTTACTGCGACACAAAACGGCCAACAACCGTGCTACAGAAATAATATACATTTAGGGACCAAATGATGTCGCCTTGGAAATCAATTGAAACACGAACTTTAGATCATCATGTGTGTCCATGCTGTGTTAAGCGCCAAAAAGACATAAAAGACCAGATAGTTGTGGGCATAAATATACACATTGTGAGGTGATGAATACATAAAAGATAAACAGGTTAACAATACTTACTTTAAGTGTAACAGCAGCTGCTTTGATAATGAAATCATTAACCGACACTTTGATCTGTTCTGAAAAGACAAAGAAGAAACAGTTTGTGAGCCTGATTCAAGCAACAAATGGACATAACGTCATGTATTTTGTACAGGACCTGCAAATTGTGACACTGTTCTCTCGCATATGGCAAAAGAGTGTTACTACACATTTTCTCAGGGGGAAGAAACGTATCCTGTATCTTGACCTTCACTCCTGCCGATCAGAAACAATCACTCTATATGACTCGGTCACTGGCATTTGCTCTGCCCCCCTCTCCGTGTGGGACACCAGCAGGGCCAGGCGGGCTTGGCCTTGCATCGTTGCCAACTTGTACTAGTGTCCATTAGTGCAGGACCAGACGGTTATGAATGCCGTGAGCGGGATGATTAACGAGCAAGCCGTGAAATCGCTCTGCTCCCGAACAATGAGAGTCGGCAAAAACAACCGCGGAGAGAATCCCTAAATACACACACAACCTAGCTAATAGCTCTGGAATGGCCGACCCGTTTCCTCCATCACAGAGACAGGACCCGGGGAGATTTACTGTTTGTTTGACAGCTCGGCAGAGTTAAGCTAAATAAAGCAAATTGCGTGATAGTGTGTTGAACTAAATGTTTAAAAAACAGGAAAGTGACAGACAACACAGAAAATGCTCCAAAGTAAGCATAGAATACATTTTAGGAGTCCATGAAAAGCAGCAATTGTGGATACATATGCTCTTGGCTGATTGTAGCAAAATGCGGAAGAGTCACCGTTGAGACACATGCACAATGTTTCCTTTCTCTGGTTGTGGTGTAAACCTCCCTTCACGTTAAACACGCACGTCCTGATGGATGTTGCACAAGAAGCTGCGGTTAGCTCAGTGAGTTGCTAGGGAAGTCTTTGAGGCTGAGGAAGTAGCTTGCCAAAACATGGTGAATATACTACTAGTTCCTGCTAGTATTGTGTTTATTCTCCAAATACTCAAGCTCTCAACTCATCCATACATTGCCTACCCTGTTCACACTCTATGGATGGACCAAGCTCTTTTCCACGACCTTACATTTCACACATATTTTACAGTCTTTTAATGCTTTTCTTCTTCATCTTAAATGCCGCCATTATATAACACAGGATGCACCAAACACACTAAAGAATCAACTGGAAACACTTTGAATCCAAGAGAAATGATTATTCTGGAAGAGGACTTTTACTCCTTTAAGCACAAAGGAACAGCTACGTATATAAATGAAAACAGCTTCCTTTCTTCCAAAATTCTGTCTCTGAAGTTGTTGCTGATATCTCTTGCATCATGAAACTGGTGTGGGCCATTTCAAGCTAACAGAGGCTGCCACTCTGTGAGTCAAATGTAAGAACTGATAGATTAGAGCTATGTGTACGTGTATAATTAGCTGTGGTCGTCTTATCAGCCTTAACTTGTGATACGCTGTGTGAAGAAATAGCAGATCTGATCAATGTCAAATATGGATGTTTCAAAGATTCAGCCAGTTATGCCCTATTTATATCCTCTTCATAACCCATACAACATGTGAACTCTCACCCTCCCACACCATACCGGGTTATTCTTAGTGGGGGGGGGGGCGGAGGAGATATTGGTATGAACCAGAGGTGCATGACCCACCTGACCAGAGATTCTTTGAATACAAAAGGCTGTCCTCTTTGTCAAGTGTGCAGTCATGTGAAAACCCTGAAATCCACAATCTTCATGGAAACGTTTCCTTCCAAATACTCCCGTCAGACATTCACTGAAGGGGCACGACACGACCACGTGCATGTACAGAACATTGCTAACGTGTACAAACCCCCCTCATAGTTGTGCGATTATACCTTTGGCCAAGTCTTTGCGGAGATGCATGACGGCAGCCATGTCACAGTCAACAGAGGCATACGCATGGGGGATGGTGGTCTTCGATTGCGTCAGTCTTTGAGCAATCACACGGCGAATATTTGAGACTGGGATCTCTGTGAAAGTGCCCTGAAGAGGACAAGCGGAGGGAATGATTGAACAGGGTGATAAGGGCATTTTGAGAGAGACAATAGGGAATGAAAGGGGACAAGAGTGATTGTCAGACATACGTATCTTCAGCTGCCTTCAATCACTCAAAAGGATGAATGGGATTAACAATGTGAAGATTAAATTAACAAGCTTGTTCCAACAATTTAATGACTGGTTAGTGGTGGATGAGAGTGACAGCGAGAGAGAGAGATATTGTGGGGAGTGCTCACCGGTGCTCCTGGTTTCCCTGGTATGGAGAGAGGAGGTATGTTGGGTCTGCTGCCTGCGGGCAGACGGGTCGCTGCCAGGGCTGGGACAGGACTCGGGGCAGCCATAGCTGGGGTCGCTTTGGGGACAGGAGATGTCTTCAAGAGATTCAATGCATCTCTGTTGAAGTAAAAACACATGTATGCAGGCGTCGCTTTACACAGTCATTTGAATATTTTTATACAATGAAATGTATACAATCATTTTGTGCTGAGAACTGGTGAGGGTTGAAATGAAGGGTTGACATGATGTTAATATACATAAACCACTATGGCAGTCAACATACACTGACAACTTCAACACTAAACTTATTGGAACACATTGGCGCAGAAAAATGTTACATGCATATAATAACAAATCCTTCCCAGCATTTTCCAAATTATTTTGCGCACTGCAAAAATGCTTTTGTGTCAATCTTATTTGGGTCCATCTTTGTTGAAGTGCACCGATTCCCACCCAGTATGCCCCTGTTAAACAGATGAGCTATGCTATTACAAGCCTTTGGCAAACTTTTCCTTGTCATCCTGTTTTCTTCCTTTCTGCGATGTATTATTGACGGCTTCATTTCTACTGTGGAAAACTAAATCAGACACATTTCTTACTGCATGAAAAGTGCTGTCATTTATTTTTCTACTTCGCATTGACCTTTTTAAATGAAACAGCAATTGTATGAAAAAAGAAAAAACACTATGCATATGGGTTAATAATACATTATTAACCCATATGCTCCCACTCACCAAGCTCGTAAGTAGCACGCTAGATTTATCTAGTTTGTTTTTGAGTCAGGCTTGTAGAGAGAAGTAGCTTTCGGTTATTCTCCAGTGGACGGGCGTCATGAGAATCATTTGCTAGTCACAAACAAACCCCATCAGGATAAGGCTAGGCAGGATCGGGTGTCAGGTGCAGCAAGGGACATGGTTATTCAAAACCTTCATTATCCTCAACACTGGCATGATGAGCCGTGGACAACCCTACTTTTTCAAAAAAAAACATTATACATAACATAGCACAGACTAACTCATTCTTTGGTACAGACGTCTTGTGCTGCATTAAAAGACGCATTTTACATCTCAGATGAGGGTGAATCCCCCACTTAATGATTATCCCGAAGCTGTCTTAAATTATTACTTTTACCTTAAGCTTAGAAAAAAAAAAAAAAAATAAATAAAAATAAATGGAATTGGAATTAATTCAATTATATCACATTGGTCAGTTTGATATAATAGTGAACATTTTACTCTTCTACTGCAACATTTTCCATATACAGCGTATTTCTAATATGCCCATTTACAGCCGTTTAATAAATGTAGTAGAGGAAGTGACAATTTGATTTGATAGACTGGGAAAGAGAAAAGGTTTAAAAAAAAAAAAAAAAAAAAAAAAGAAAAAATTTTTTTTCACCCATTCATTTTGGTCTTAGCAGCGAAAGAGGTGGGAGGGGCAGGTATCAGGTGCGCAAGCTTGAAGCTGTCTGGTTCCAGTTCAGTACACTGGGGTCCTCCTTCCCACACACATCCAGTCTTTTGTCTGGACCAGCTGCCTCTGACCTCAACATGTAGCCAGGAACAGTCTGGGCCCCACAGCTACGTCCCTCTGTGAGCTGCATCTCTTTATTTCCTCGAGCACACTAACTCCTCCCTCTCTTTCACTGATAGGAGTATTTGTTTGTGGAGGGACCTGAAGCAACTTGGAAATCCCCCAGCTAGCGTGAGAGCACCACATTGACTGCATTGATGATTACAGCCCCCCACATAAAAAACTAAAAGCCTAACACAGAGCTTATATGTGACTTCAACTTTGAATGCGTGTAAAAATGATCAAATGAACAAAAACATCTGATACAAAGGAGATTGTCCAACATTACAAGTTTTAAAAAATGCTGATATGCCATATACAGTATATGCCACCATATGCTTTAAAGAGAAGAAGTCAAATCAACAGGAGCCTATAGTGGACGCTATAGATACCGTGTGTGTAGCTGGTTGGCATGTACCTTTCACATCGACCATTTACACCCCTACTGACAGCCAAGGCAAAAGAGCCTCTGAGAGACTGCGAGTGTGAGTAGAATATTAAAAAGGCAACGAGGCAGCGCACACACACGCGCACACACACACACACACACACACACACACACACACACACACTCACACACACACACACACAAAAGCACCAACACACATGAATCAACTTTGTCTTCTACTGCCCCCTAGGACAGGCTAAGATGGGGGGAAAGGGTGGTGTAGTCATGGGATCTGCTCCACTGGACTGGTGTGTGGTTTAATTTAAACAACCCATTATGGCTGAAATGGACTCCAGGGTAAAGAGGACTATGCTTTATTATTATTTTTTTTAAATAACATGAAGAGAAGATTTAGATTTTTGTAAAAGCACTGGAGAAACAGCAAACATACACAGTAAGAACATCATCGCTTGAGGAAGTTGGCAGCAAGATGTGCTTTTGAAACAATGCAAGACATTACAAAATATAGCAACACAATATGACAAATGTGGCTGACTGACACGCCACTAGAAAGCCGTACCTCTTTTAAACAGCAACATGCTAACACTCTTACATTGTGTTTTACCTGTAACACACTGTATGTAGGCGTTTTTGTGTGTTCTAATTATGTTTTAACTTCAGCTAAAGCGCAGCTCTGGCGCTGTGCATGTCAGAGTCAGCGATCAAGACAACACGTCTTTGTTAATGAAAACCCGTGTTGGTCAAAGACAAACACAACTGATGCTTTTGGGCCATTGTGTGGCCATTTAAAGTATTACACTCTTACGCAGGAAGCGCATAGTGAAATAAAGAGAGATATTTGATCTGGATATGTTGCAAAGAATGAAGCCATCAATTTGATATGTTATTACTGAATATCTACATTTATGCTAGACTTGGTTATTTTTAAACTGACACACACATCCAAAACAGCTGCTTGTTGCATGGCTACAAGAGGCTGGCGGCTTAAAGTTTAACGGGCTTCCTTGTTGGTGTTTCAAAATGAGTATCTTGCTTTAACTAATGTAATACTTCATGCTTAATACGTGAAATCAGGAGGTTTTTTTTAGACACATTTTCTACATAAATGGCAGCGTTTTGTCTGCATTCACAGAGGGTACAGTCATTCTGTAATGATGTGACCTACGGTGAATTAGATATCACTGAAACCTTTATCCATCACTGTGCTTGCCTCTTGGATAACATCTATTGATGACAATGATGAAAGATAAGGGGAGAAAAGGTGGTAATAGCAATGTGTTTCTCTGAACCCCAATCTGTATTTAAACCTTGCTGTGGATTATGTAACATGCTATGATCTCATCCCTGGGTTGCATGACCTATTGCTATTCATGCCCACTATAGAGGGGCCTCACTAAAGCAGAGGGGTACCGTTCCCTGGTTTCAGTCTTATCTGATCTGCCAAAGGACAAAGGAGGGAAATGGGGTCTATTCTGCCCTCTCTTGAAGGAGCTAAGCCTATGTGAAACTATTTTCACCAAGGAGATTTGATTTCCAACAAGAACAGGACTGTTCAGTCCCACAACATAGAAGCTAGTCTTTAGGTTCAGCTATTCTGGGACATCAAATTGGAACATATGTAAATATCCAAAAGACATTGTCTAAAAGGAAATCACTTCCTAAAAACACCCTTTCATGCCAGCCATTCGTGGCCATTGGACAAGGTCTCACTTGACCGTAGCCGTCACTGGCTTACCTGATGTTTTGAAGACAAACTGGCCGATACATTTCTAATCTAATGGCATTATCGAGCAGCCGTCTGAGAGAATGACACAGCTCACTCTGATTTCTGCAGAGCTTTGTGGAAAAACATCCCACCAGAGCACAGATTACTGATCATTTACTGAGCTTCTATGTTTAGATCTTAGGGAACATTTTAGAAGGAAAAGCCAGAAAGTGCCTTAAAAGTGAAGCTTTGTATACTTCTCTCTGCCTGTGGCTTGGCCAGCAAACTATTTCGAACAGCACATCATTGAATTCGGAAATGTCTCTCACACACTGTTTTTTGTTGAACCTCTTGGCAGGAAGAGCCTCTCAACTTCCTTCCTTCATGAAAAATCTTCATTCCAACAAACGGTTTGAGGAGAGCTAACTGAGCCAGCATGCTAAATCAAATAATCGGGATATAATTACAACTGCATGACTAATTAAACAATTTAAACTTCAAAACCTAGAAATCATGTTGACACGCAGAACATGTGTTCATCAACCTGGACAACTGATGACAGCTTCATGCCAAAACAACGAGCAGTGTTCCCTTTTTGCTATTTAAGAAAAGAATATTCTAAATGTGCTTGAATAAGAGCGGATAACACGCTTCCTTAGTGGTAAAGACACGTCTCATTGGTATGTATAGTTTTAGATTTATAGATAAAACAGTTTAAAATATCATGTATTTTTGCTATATTTCTAAAAATGTCTGCATTAGGAGAAAAGGCTCTGCTGACACTCTCTGCATTGTCCTTCTTCACCGTGTTTGGTTTATGAAGCTTCGTGTATCTTTTACTCTCTGAAGACATATGGTCTGTGTTTCTATGGTCACCAGTGGGTCTTGGAGACTGAGTTGCTATGGCGACCGACGTTGCTTAATGAGATTCCCCAGCAGGGTGTTGTGTGGGTAACGAGGGTATTCAATCAGGTCCCTATTGACAGCAGGTAACCATGAGAGCTGCGTGTGTGTATGTGTGTGTGTTCACAGCTTTCTCTGGTGTGGATTCGCCACATAACAGGATTAAAGTAGCTGAAATCTTGACCCCCCCCTTTAGTCACATGTGTTTTTTTTCACTTATCTAGTCTATCCCACGTTTTCATTGTCATTCACACTGCCTTCACTGTTGCTATAACCTGCCTTGCTCTGACCGACATCTCTTTTTCCTCAGAGATACGTCGGTGCTACGTTGGCCACAAGGGGACCCTTCCAATCTGTGCCCTCAGACCTATTACACTGCTAAACGATCCCCCTACTGCTGACAAATCACTTCCCATGCAAACAAATAAAGCAAAACCCATTCATCCACACTCACTCCTTGGTGATGAGTCCTCTTGGTCCAGTTGGTGTGGCCAATTTTGGGTCTATACCATGGGTGTCCAGGATATGTCTCGCTGCTGGACTCAGACGTAACCTGGACGAGGAAGAGAGCGTATTTACGATATAGTTTTGAACTTTGTACTTTTGCTTTCCATCTTTATTTCTTAAGTGTTAAAGAAAAGAGTAGATAAAAAAAAACAAATCCTGGTCCAGCAAATAGGTTATTTGAATTGTTTCAGTCTAGCTTAAAGTATAAAATGTTTGCATAAGAAATAGGGCCTGTTTGTTCGGCAGCTCTTTTGCTTTCCACAAGAGTATTTATTGTGTAAACATATGAACAGAAAAAGAACATCTTATTCAGCGTGTTAGATGGCGGTAACTCGGGTAAGACGTGAAGTTAGCATGGCTGGTTTACTGAACAAAAGAAAGGATACGTTTTTGTTAATCCTGCATGTATCTTTATCCTTGCCATCTATGTATTTGTATCGTACAACTCTGTGACAAACAGCCTGTGGCGACACTTACGGTCCTGACGTGGCTGGTTTTGGGGGAGAGGCTGGAGAGGGAGCAGCAGGGGGCGCATCTGCGGCTGCGGCAGCATCTGCAGCAGGTGGAGCTGCAGCTTCCGGAGGGGGGATGTCAACTTGCTTCCAGTCCTGCCCTTCCTCCACCATGAGGGCAATAAGAGTGCCCAGGCGCACATTGCGACTTCCCTCCTCTATCTATAAAGAGTGTGAGAGACATACTTATACAGTCAGGGCGGGGGGGGGGGGGGCACATTAGCAACACTGCTTCAGTCACTTCATAAGTACAGAGTTTACTAGAATAATGGGGAATGGGGAAGGTCTCAGATATTGTATGAAGTTAATCAGTTTACCAGTGGTCATTGAAAAGGTAAACATTTCGTCAGCCATTATTAGGGGACCTCTTGAAAAATCCCACTGCCTCCTCATTCGCATCAATTTCTATTCTTCCATTTTCTCCCGTTAACTTCGGGAATCATACAAAACCCAGCTGTGGTGGAACAGCTTCTTGGAGTGCAATGGATGTGTTTTCATGCTGTCAACTATTGATTCACTGTCTTGTTGCAGAGTAATCCACTGCAAGCCTCATGCTACTCTTACCAAGCTGTGCAAGGTGTTGTTTCTCCGTCAATATTGATCAGTTTAAATGAAAGGCCGGGCACAATATACAGGTTTTGGGCTGCTACACTTCATCTCTCTTCAAAAAGGTATCCACTTAGTGAGCTGCCTCTTGAAGGTGTAGCTCGATATCATGAGAGAAGGAAGAAGAAAGAACGGAGGAACACCACAAAATAGACCCTGCTGCTGTAATACACAAACTCCACCACTGATCAGCAAAAACACAATCACCTGCAAAAAATAAGGTGTGATTTCACAATAAATTGGTGCAAATTGAAGTACAATTAGTTAATCAAGTTATCAACATGCTCTCTCTGTAGCAGGAATGCACAACCACAAGCAGCACTCTAATAATCAGATCCACCTGATTGGAAAGCACAGCAGAATATATGAACACCTGCACTCACTGGTAGAAAGAGATGCTTATTCTGGTCTACTTTAGTTCAGTGTAAACCTGCAGGTTGAGGCAGGACGTTCTCACTGCAATGCAAAGCACTGATGTGTTTGGGTACTAAGAGTCAACCTAGTTCATTTATTACATAATAATACTACATTTTGAAAGGCATCTGAGAATTTCTTGCCCCTTTGGACTTTGCAGTAAAGTGGAATGCTGTTGGGGAAAAATCTAAATGACTAATTATTGTGCATTTAATAATTAGTGAATGTTATGCGTTTACAAAGCCTCATGTAAGCTTTCGAGGCCGTGTCCCCAAATGGTTTTGTGTGAACTTTCTGTAACATCAGTCTCTGCAAATGTTTAGTCTATTAAGAAGCAGTTGACGGCCGAAAGAACATTTCAAGCTGTTTATTCTAAATAAGCCATAATAAACCTGTAGAAAGCGCCAATACTTACGCAGGGCTGATTTGCGACCATGACTTTTGAGAAAGTGACCTTTGTACTAGAACGAATTGTTAAAGTGTCCAGATACGTAGACGCCTTTGTGAACCGCAATTCATGTGTTATCTAACAAAAGGCCATAACATAAGACTACTTTAAGATGAAGTATAAACCACAACAGGTCTGATGTGTGATTAACACAGACCTGCTGTCAGGCCTCTCAGGGAAATACGGACTCCTGTAAATTTCCACAGAGATCCCTCTCCTCAGGCCCAGAGGGATTTTTCCACTTGGTAGAGATGCTGGAGAAGCAATATACTTCCCACACTAGCCGTGGTATCACGACACAAGCAACACTGTGATATGTTGTTACGACAGCCATCAACACATCGGTGTGTAACAGAAGGGGAGAACGTACCAATGACCCAACAGCCTAATGCAATGGCGCACTATACACTACTTGTCAGCTTGAGAATTTAATGCTATTTTGCAGCGGACATTATCTTTAGCTCCACCCTCCCAGAATTTATTTGGGGTGGTTGACCCCGAGGGAAATGTTGTCAAATATTTATCCTACCCTACTCTAGATCAGTCGTATACCTATCTGAAAGCAGGGAAATGCAATTTGTAAGGCATATCAGGTTGAAAACCAAACAGCTTTACAGTTACCTTTACTGACAGAATGTGTAGTAGAGCAATAAAAGTTTTTGCACTTCTTGGGACTGGTTTTCTGTGCCTATATAAGGCAATTGCATTTCTCACAAAAGTGGAACTTTTGAAACCAATGACAACATGCAGCATAAGCCACATTTTAGTCACAAGCTGCATCAGTAGTTTCATTATAAGGCACATCACTTTACACACACACACACACACACACACACACACACACACACACACACACACACACACACACACACACACACACGGTAGTTGCATTAGTAAATGCTTAGTACACTGTAGTGCTGTGGGGCTCAACACTGCCATCAAATGGTTATAGCGCACCCTGAAACCTGTGGGAAGGATTATGATGCTGTGTGTTGCACAGCTAGTTTTACTTTATGCTCAAAGAGCTTCTGCGGTGAGCAGGTCAGATTAGAATGAAATTAAATGCACAATGTTTAGCATGAAACTCCTCTAAAACAGTTTCGGAGATCACAGAGAGCAAAAGGCATAACACTTTGGTGTTTAATATTATGTTAATATTAAGTATAGTCGGATTATGATCATGTCACATTGTAAAACATTTGCAAAAGAAGTACATTGTGCATTCTGTACAATAACCCTAACCCAACAATGTACCTACTTGCATTTTGTACAAGGATGGGTGACCCTTGACCCCCAGGTAACGTGTGATATCTGATCTTCATGTTGTATCGGGTGTTGGGCACACCAGCAGCCATACCACTGAACCAGAGGAAATGATGGTAACTCGTTTCCTCCATTTCATTTACTTAGTTTAGCACAACACTTACAACACGCACATACAAACTGATAAATAACTGACATACAACATGCAGTTTTATTAGCAATTTCCCAGCTGCATCACACCTGTTTCAAAGAGTGCTGATTGTAAACTGGAACGCTCCTCCTGCATCCTGGGGAAGGGCAGTGTTTTCTAGTTAGATTTTCATTACTATTGCTTTGAGCAAACAGTGTTTTTGATATTATCGTTTCATTATCTTTGCTTAGTTATTAGGTGCAGATATATGCAGACATTTTTTGTGTTTACGGTAGTTTGTTTAGACGGATATGTCTCAGTCGATCCCCGTGTGTCTAAATTGCCTGATCAATCACTCTATACGTTTCCCCTTTGTCTCAGTTAAGAGTGTCGGTTTGTGCTACTCAGTTCTCTTCCGTTAGTGCTTCAGTTAAGTTATGTCATGTTTAAAGCTGCGTCTCTCTGGTCTATACCCGCTCGGTCCCTGTCCTCACAGCCATCCTTCCTCTCATGCTTAACAAAAGTGGGCCCTATACTGTGAAGAACAGTCAACGGGCTAGACTCAGCCTATGACAACATTCTCACTGTGAAAAGTCTAACGGATCTCAAATAGGGCTCTTAAGGGACCTCTCCAGAGCCCATCAGCTAAGCTAATGATATAACAAAGTCAGACTGCACCATTTATGAGGTTTAACCTACTTATCGCAAAACTGTTATCATACAGCGAGCCATACAAGCCCCCCGAGCGTATAAACAGCTTAGTTACAATAAGCTTGGCCTGGACAAGTATAAACATTCATTTTAATTTCAATTAAGAATGTTGGCTGATGTGGCTGTAAATCCCGTGATGTAGATGCCAGAAAGAGTGATTATTCCAGGTCTGTTAGTCGGTTGTTACAGTGGGCATTAGGATCGTGGTCAAACAGTGTACAGCAATACAAATAGGGCTATAGATCAAACCCTGATTGCATAGTGTTTGAGTACGTTTATTTGTCAAAAGGAAGATGTGTTTAGCCAAAAAAATGCATATAAACAGAAAGAGAGAGATAGAGAGAGATCTTGTTTAGGCAGTGAGACAGTCTGCCTCTGATCAATAGTGTGACAGATATCACACAAAGATAATTACAGCGACACCCTTCATTGTAGCAATGCCAGTCTGCTAGTCCAATGTAATCTCACAAAAATTCAAGCTGCAACTCATGATGCTCAGAAGGAATGATTTACTCATGTTTGTTTAGCTTTCCAACAATAGAACCACAACTTCCAGGTTTGAACTGTCAAGGAGCTGTTATCACAGGGCATCTCCGTTTATCTATTCCATATGTTCTATTGTTCTCCACTCTGTTGTCTCGATAATGCATCACCTCAGTCCCAACCTCTTTCCCCAATGCCCTGCCGGACTCTCTTGAAGGAAACTATGAACTGTAAAGTGAATGAATTTAGCATGTGTGCCAACAGTCTACTTGTTATTTACTCTCATTTTGAAATTCTAGATCAGACAAAGACTTTTCATCCATTTTCTTTTTTTACCCAAGAACGCTGCACAAGTAGAAAGTGATTTATACCAATTGATTTAGAGGACACTATAACTGCTACTGTTGGTGATTAAATGTATCCCTCATATGTGTGGAGATGAAGAGAGGCGGGGGAAGAAAATGATGAATGGGAAACAGAAAGGTTAGCCCTGCAGAATGTGTTGGATATCTTCATCAATGTATCCAACAGTCCTTTCTGCCCTGTAACTCATTATATCGATCGCAAATTCATCCACACTCAACTATCTTCCGATGTACCAATCAATACATTACTAGATCACTTTTCTCCATCTAAAGCTCAGTGGCATTCATCTGCATAAACATCTGAACAAAAGAAAAGCTATGGAGATCTTCAGTATGAATCTGCAAACACACGTGTGTCACTTTTCCACGGACTGTGATTGATTGTACCCGGGGCTGATGTTCAGATTGAAGCCTCTGGGTCAGGGTAGAGCAACACAGCAAGAGTATGATGAGATACAGTAAAATGTGTTCTCGGTGCTGGTGCGCCTACCCCCCCCCCCCCCCCCCCCCCCCCCCCCCCCCCCCCGCGAATCTAACACAGCCCCC